ATCCTCCCTGGGACCCTGGGAGCCCCAGGAGGCCCCAGAGAGCTCCAGGAGGCCGCAGGACGCCCAGGACAGGCCCCAGGGGTTCCCAGGAGGCTCCCAGGAGGCCCCAGGAGGCCCCCTATCAGAACGTGTCCAGTTAATACACATCCGTGTCGATTCGTTGATTTTTCCTGCTCTTGGCCATTTTGAGAGGCCCAAGCGGCCACATGTTAGATATCCCTCCTGGGAGCCCCAAGAGGCTTCAGGAAACCCCAGGTGGAGTTCAGGAGGCCACAGGAGGCCCAGGAGGAAGCCCCAGGAGGTCCCCAGGAGGCCCCAGGAGGCACCAGGAGGCCCCCGCAACTCGGAGCTCTGAGACGCCGCGCTCGAGGTGGTCCGGCCCGTTTCGCCTGAGACTTCCTCGCAGCGCGTTTCGCCCGAGACACCGGCCCGTCTCGCCTGAGACATCCTCGCAACTCTGAGCTCTGAGATGCCGTGCGCAAGTTGGTCCGGCCCGTTTCGCACAAGACATTCTCGCAACTCTGAGCTCCCAGATGCCGCGCAAGAGGTGGTCCAGCCTGGGGGCCCAGAAGACCACATGTTACATATCCTCCCTGGGACCCTGGGAGCCCCAGGAGGCCCCAGAGAGCTTCAGGAAGCCGCAGGACGCCCAGGACAGGCCCCGGGGGTCCGCAGGAGATTCCCAGGAGGCTCCCAGGAGGCCCCAGGAGGCCCCCTATCAGAACGTGTCAAGTTAATACAAATCTGGTGTCGATTCGTTGATTTTTCCTGCTCTTGTGGCCCCCCTCCCCCATTTTGGGGGGCCCCGACGGCCACATGTTAGATATCCCTCCTGGGAGCCCCAAGAGGCTTCAGGAAGCACCAGGTGGGGTCCAGGAGGCCACAGGAGGCCCAGGAGGAAGCCCCAGGAGATCACCAGGATGCCCCAGGAGGCCCCAGGAGGCCCCCGCAACTCGGAACTCTGAGACGCCGCGCTCGAGGTGGTCCAGCCCGTTTCGCCGGAGACTTCCTCGCAGCACGTTTCGCCCGAGACATCGTCGCAACTCTGGGGTCTGAAATGCCGCGCGCGAGGTGGTCCAGCCCGTGACATCCTCGCAACTCCGGGCTCTGAGATGCCGTTCGGGATGAAGAGGAGGTGGAGGAGGAGGAGGAGGAGGAGGAGGAGCAGGAGGAGGCATGTTTTAACATGCCATGCCAGCCCGCACTGGACGGGCACGCAATCGACCTTGGAAACCGCAGTGGGTCTAAAAACCCTGTTTGGGGATACTGCACTCCGGTTATAATAATAATGATTTTTAATATATGATTAATGTCTGAATAAATCTATGCATGAACTCATCGTTGTTTTTAATGCTACACCCCTGCATGTTTAATACAAGATCCGCACGCGGAGCATGTATTAAAAACGGCACTGTACAGGCGGATCTTGGAGGAAAAAAGCTGTCAACAAAAAATTCAAACATAATCAAAAACAGGAAAAGATCGTTCCCTTGATATGTTCTGACTATCTTTGAATACTCCTCCTGTGGAGGGACACGCCCGACTTAAAGCTACGCGGCCCTGACGCGCGCGATCAGCGTGGACTGGCGATGCCGCAGAGCGCGGTCGATGACAGCGTCGGCGCGAATCCGATACCGCTCTGAAAACACTGAAAAGGGATGAAGCTTGTGTCGTCGATTGGGTTCTTCTCGTCGCCCTGGGCTTTGCGTCGTTTGGGGCCTTTTAAAGCCCGGCTTCGGGCCCCGGGACCGTGAGAACCCAGAATGGAAAAACTGCCCCCCAGGGAAAGTCTCCCGAAGGATCCTCCGACACGACCTGCAAAAGTGGCATCACTCCTCCGGCGGGGCAGGAAAGGCCCCCCCCCCCCCCGGACTTTGCCTACTCCAGATTTCGTAATAAAGGGAGGGGGGTCTCATTTCGGGGGGGGGTCTCTTCCAGGCTATCTTGGAGGGTCTGGGGGGGTCTGGGGACGATGTTTTGGAGGGTTCTCCCACGGGGGAGGTCTGAAATGGCTTGTCTTGGAGGGTCCAGACCCACTCCCTTTTATTACGAAATCTGGAGTAAGCGCACGCCGGCGCTCTGGTCTCTGGTGGAAGCTCGGGGCGGGAACGCCGCCCGAAAAGCCCGCCACTCTGGACAGAGACCGCCGCGCGCCCAGGCGGGCGCGACCCGCGGCGCGGAGGGGCGACGCAAGGGGGGCGCACGCGACGACGGCGCTTCGGTGCGGACCCCGGGAAGCACCAGGAGCTCTGGCAGGCATCGGTGCGGCTGCAGTCCTGCGTCGCCGTCGTCCGCCGTCGCCGCCGAGCGGCGGGGCTTGTGGGAAGCTCCAGTCGGCGGTGGACAAACCTCCCTTTAGTAGACCTCCCCTTAGTGAAAACGGCCTGGGGCCGAAACCGACGGACCTCTGACCCGCAAAAACAACGGCCGCGACGCCCTCCCGCGAACCGAAAACGGCCAATTCCTTAATCGACATGTCAGGGTAGGAGGTCTGTCCACCTCCGACTCAGGCCTTCTGAGAGGCCCCCTGTGGCTTCCGGCAAGGCTCAGAACACTTCCTGGAAAGCGCAGGAGGCCCTCTGAGCCTTCGGAGCAGGCCCGTTCGCACTGCCTTCGCCCCTGGACGCGCCACCGATGGGTGCGGCTGCAGCCCCACATCGCCAGGAGGCGGAGGAGCAGGAGGAGGAGCAGCAGGAGGAAGAGGCGGACGAGGACGAGGACGAGGATGGGGATGAGGATGGGGATGAGGATGAGGATGAGGAGGAGGAGGAGCAGGAGGAGGAGGGGGAGGAGCAGGAGGAGGATGAACTGCCCACCATCGCTGCCCAAGGCCCGCCGCCGCAGGCGGCGGCCGCAGTTCCCCACGCCTGGGTGGAATGGCTGGAGGCAACCGCGGGCAGACGCCAGAGGCCGACATCCAACGGCGCGCCTAAAAGCGCCTGGGAGCGCCCGTGATCGTTCCCCGGAGCGCTTGGGAGCGCCCGGTAGTCCTCCTCCTCCTGATCGTCCTCCTCCTCCTCCTCCTCCTCCTCCTCCTCCTCCTCCTCCTCCTCCTCCTCCTCCTCCTCCTCCTCCTCCTCCTCCTCCTCCTCCTCCTCCTCCTCCCTTCAGCAGACGCACCCCGGGAGGGGATCGAACCGGGCAGGGCTGCCTGCCGGCGGTGCGCCGGACGGGGAAGCGAGACGGGGCAGGCTGGCTCAGAGGGCGGCGGGGCTTCTCAGAAGCCCCCCAGGCTTCTGGGGAGTCCCCCGTGGATCCGGAAGCGGTTCCGAACGACTCTCGGGGAAGGCTGGTGACATTCTGAGCCTTCTGCAGCGGCCCGCCGCCCGTGCCTTCCCCCCTGGGCGCGCCGACGAGCCTAGATCTCAACGTCCAGCGCTGGTCAGCAAACGTCAGTTATGAGGGGTCGTCACGTCGTCCTCCTCCTCGCCGTCCCCCTCTGACGGTTCCTTGGGGGGAGGTTTGTTCTGGTTCCCAGACCTTCCCTGGGTTCCCTGGTCTTGCTCCTTTTCAATGCATTCCCTGGGTTCTCTGGGAGCTCCCCGGGTTCCCCGCCCCAGGCGCAATGCCAAGCAACGCCAAGCAATGAGCAATGCGAAGCAATGCGAAGCAATGCGAAGCAATGCGAAGCAATGCGAAGCAATGCGAAGCAATGCGAAGCAATGCGAAGCAATGCCAAGCAACGCCAAGCAACGCCAGGCACTGCCAGGCAACGCCAAGCAACGCCAGGCAACGCCAAGCAACGCCAAGCAATGCCAAGCAATGCCAAGCGATGCATAGCAATGCCAAGCAATGCCAAGGAATGCCAAGCAATGCCAAGCTATGCCAAGCCATGCCAAGCACTGCGCCCATGCAACAGGAACCTTTCCTCCAGTTGGGCTCGCGCCGGGTTCATTGTCCTGGGGCTGTTGCTTGCAGCCCTGAACCTGGGCCGTGGGCTGTCAATAGCGCCCGCACCCCAAACCGGCAGAGCTCAGCGGACTGAACCACTCGAGGGCCGCGACCGACCGACCGACCTCCTCCTCCTCCTCCTTCTCCTCCTCTCCCCCCCCCCGTCCGCCTCCGTCCTCCGACCATTCATCCCTCGCTAGGGCTGACGCTAACATGGATCAGGGATCTGTGAATCTGGCGCCCACGCGCCAGATCCACGGATCCAACAACAATAACAACAACAACAACAACAACAACAACAACAACAACAACAACAACAACAACAACAACAACAACAACAACAACAACAACAACAACAACAACAACAACATCAACAACAACAACAACAACACCACCACCAACAACAACAACTACAACTACAACTACAACAACAGGAAGCCAGTGCCGCCTCAGATGGCGACGAAGTGCGTCACTCTCCGCATGGACGCGGGACCCGCCGCCAGTCCACGCGCACTGATCCATACTCTCGTTTCCTCGACTCTCACTATCCCCCCTCATCTTCTCCCCTCCCCCTCATCTTCCCCCTTCATCTTCCTCCTCCCCCTCCTCATCTTCCCTCTCCCCCTTCTCGTCAGACCCTCCTTAGTGTGTCACTATCCCCGCTCATCTTCCCCCTCAGATTCCCCCTCCCTCATCTTCCCCCTACCTCATCTTCACTATCCTCGTCGGACCCCCCCCTCATCTTCCCCCTCCCCCTCCTGGTCATCTTCCCCCTCCCCCTCCTGGTCAAACCCTTCCCCCACGGCGACGATGCCCCGACGACGAGGAGCCCCCGACCCGCCGGGAGAAGCGCGCTCTGACCAGACCGACGCGGATCTCGGCCATCGAAGGCGGCGCCGACGATGCGCGTCGCAACGCCGCCGACGACGACAACAACAACGACGGCGGCGGCGGTGGCGCAGACGACGACAGCGACGACGACGACGACGACGACGACAGCGACGACAGCCACGACGACGACAATGACGACGACGACGACGACGACGACGACGACGAGGGCGACGGCGACGGCGCTGACGCCAACGGCGGCGGCAGCGGCGACCGGCGTCCTTCCGCTCCGCGCGGTCGAGACCGGCGGGCGGCTCCCACTGGACACGGCCCCTGCCGGGCTCCATGCGCTCCGCCTCTGCACGCGGGGGGCGAAGGGCTGTCGAACTCGGCATTGCAGCAGTCTGCGCGCCGGCTGGCCGAAGCCCCTCGCCCAGAGAGCCAAGGGGAGCACTCTTGTTTCGACCGCCGCCCTCCCCATCGAAGGGGGGCCCAGCCCCGAGACCTGGAGGGAGGAGGGAGGAGGGACTTGTCTTATCTTTCGCACATTTCTCATGTTTGCCTGGAGGCACACGGCATTGAAAGAGACACTGACGATGCCCTTGCTGGTAGGATCGTTGCTCCCGTGGTAGCGTATACTGATCTCTTGATGGAACTGGAGAGAGATCACGACCTGGCGTGAATGGCACCGTCCGCCACCGCCTCCTCCTCCTACCTCGATACAGCGATACAAGGGGTCTAGCCGAGCAGAACACGCCAGCGCGCACGCAGCTCAAAGCCGACCTGAGAGAGGGAGAGAGAGAGAGAGAGAGAGAGAAGATAAGATAAGAGAAGAGAAGAGAGGCAATGGATGCCTCTGGGCTGCCTGACCGAAGTTGCGGTCGGCAGCAGGCCGCGCAAAGGCGGGAAGGGGTCCTCCGCAGTCCCGCCCCCGTCTGGGAAATCCGCCTCCCCCGCCGCCAGGGTGGGAACCTGCTCGAAAGTGATGGGGCAGGTGCTGAACTTAGTGCAGCTCACTTTGCACCCTGGCTGTAGGGAGGCTGACCCTAAACAGCGAAGATACCAAACAGCATCATATAAGTCTGAAGTTCCAAAGAGGACCCAAGCTTCGCTGCTTAGGAAAGAGAGCGACAGCCTCACTCTCTAAGCTGCTTGGAAGCACACGTGGCCTAAAATGGCCCACTCCTTTGCGACAAAATGCCGCGGGTGCTTCCAAGGTGCGTGCGCAGCAGCTGCGGAGGACAGGGGGGAGATCCTCCTTCTCCTCCTCCGATAAAAACACGCGCAGCCCAAGCACGCAACACACACACACACACACACACACACACACACACACACACGCACACTAAAACTCGACCCCTCCTCTCCCCCTCCCCCCCCACAAATGGCTGGCAAGCAGCAGAAGCACTGAGGGGCAGGGATGGGGAAGAATAGATGAGATAAATAAGACATGGAGGGATAAGGGGTCGAGGGAAAGCTGTGGGGGCATCTGCTGGGCAGTGGCCCAGAGTCTCAGGCAAAGCTGCCTTCATGCCTCGCCCAATCAGCTGTTGAGGAGTCTGCTGCGAGCAGCTGCATTCATAGCCTCATTCACATTAGCCCTCTGACTTGTTAGGATTGCAAGCGAAGAAGGAGGCGATGCATATATCGTGTGCCCATGTATTACAACTCTTACAATGGACGGCCCCCTTGACCTTGGCACATTTATCTCCACAGATGTAACACTTCGCTTTGCCAGACGGGCTCGAAGGGACCAAAAATGATGAGCGCCCGAATATTCCCGCACACCTCCTGCACGGGTAGCCTTTTGCAGAACTGTTTGACAAATTGCCAATGCTGCACAAGTCCTCAAACGTTGAACTCCCGTCAGCCTCGTCCGCTGTCTTGTCTTCAGCGGCGCCGGCTGTCTCGGGCTCTTCCTTCTGGCATGCCGAGGCGGCACACACGCTAAAGCCCCGAAGTGCGACAGGAAGGAGAGCACGAACTTTCAACAACTACTCCTCAAACTCACTGCAATCACTGGCCCATTCATGGCCATCGTGTTCACTGCTGTGCGTACTCATGTGTGGCTCCACAAGTAAAGATTGTGCCATAGCCTCTTCATACAGTAAATCAAAAGATGAGACATACTGTTGCAGCTGCTGGTGTAGAGCGGATGTCGGTTTGGCTCTCAATGTCCACGCTGGCCTTTGCGACCTCGCCGTGTGGAGTCTGGGTTGCCACATTTGAGCGCTCTTCGAATATGTTGAAGAACTCAACTTCCTGTCCAGATTCAGAGTGTAAGGCTCCCTCCGATGGGCCTGGCGGAGAGAATTCGGATGCATTGCCACTGTCAGGATGTACATCGTCCTCCTTGTGTCCCCTCTGGCCCGAGAGCTCCAAGTCGAGTTCAGTGAGAAACTGACGGACTTTCTCTGGGGAGATCTTCCTCGACCATCCTGCTATAGTGTCCAGCTCCCGACACCTGCGCCTCCAGCGGGAGGTCATTTCACATTTCTTTGCTCCATATGAACAGCCTTGAAGAGGGCTGCCGCAAGCTTTTGAAAGGCGAAGCAAAGTTGCCCTGTGAAGGAAAAATATTCTCCTACCTCCTCCTCCTCCTCCTCCTCCTCCTCTTCTTCCTCCTCCTCTTCTTCCTCCTCCCACCTCCCACCTCCTCCCTCCTCCCTCCTCCCTCCCCCTCCCCCTCCTCCTCCTCCTCCTCCTCCCTCCTCCTCCTCCTCCTCCTCCTCCTTCCCCTCCTCCTCCTCCTCCTCCTCCTCCTCCTCCTCCTCCTCCTCCTCCTCCTCTCCTCCTCTCCTCCTCCTCCTCCTCCTCCTCCCACCTCCTCCTCCTTTTCCTCCTCCTCCACCTCCTCCTCCTCCTCCCTCCTTTTCTTCCTCCTTCCACCTCCTCCCTCCTCCTCCTCATCCTCCTCCTTCTCCTCCTTCCCCCTCATCCTTCCCCTTTTTCTCCTCCGTCACCTCCTCCTCCTCCTCATCATCATCATCATCATCATCACCACCACCATCATCACCATCCCAATTCAGCTCCTGCAGGAAAAAGACGAGAACGATGCCGACGATGCCAACGACGGCGGCGCCAACCGCGGCGGCGCCGATGACGACGACGCGCAAATCCTCCGGGATGGCCTCCATCCACTTGAAGTCAGCCAGCACCCCGAGCTCCTCCCCAGCGCGACCACTACGGGGCGGGGGAGACGAGGGGGAGGAGGAGTCGGTGAGGCAATGTATAGGTCGAGGACAAGGAGGAGAGGGGAGGAGGAGGAGGAGGAGGAGGAGGAGGAGGAGGAGGAGGAGGAGGAGGAGGAGGATGAACAGCAGCAACAACAGCAGCAGCATAAGGAGCAGTGAGGAGGGAGGGTGCAGCAACAACAACAACAACAACAACAACAACAAGGCAAAACAACCTCTGGTGTACCCGGAGCCGTCCACCATTTCGCTGTTTTGCTCCATGAAGCGAAACAACCCACTGGTGACCAGGACCCCCCCCCCCCCCCCCCCCCCCCCCCCCCCCCCACGCAACTGCAAACGCACAACGCAACTCAACAACGCTGTATGAGCAGCCTCTGTTCGTTGTTTCCGTTGCGTGGGCAGGTGGGGGGTGTGACCCTACGGGAGCTCCACTGTATGGGATCCCATACGGATCCTATACGGACTGTATGGGATCCCATACGGATCCTATACGGACTGTATGGGATCCCATACGGATCCTATACGGACTGTATGGGATCCCATACGGATCCTATACGGACTGTATGGGATCCCATACGGATCCTATACGGACTGTATGGGATCCCATACGGATCCTATACGGACTGTATGGGATCCCATACGGATCCTATACGGACTGTATGGGATCGCATACGGATCCTATACGGACTGCATGGGATCCCCTACCGATCCGATACGGACTGTATGGGATCCGCTTACGGATGCTATGCGGACTGTACGGGGTCTCATACGGATCCTATAAGGACTGTATGGGATCCCTTACGGATCCTATAAGGATTGTATGGGATCCCCTACGGATCCTATCCAGACTGTATAGGATCCCATACAGATCCTATACAGACTGTATGGGATCCCATACGGATCCTATACAGACTGTATAGGATCCCATACGGATCCTATACAGACTGTATGGGATCCCCTACGGATCCTATACAGACTGTATAGGATCCCATACGGATCCTATACAGACTGTATGGGATCCCCTACGGATCCTATACAGACTGTATGGGGTCCCATACGGATCCTATACGGACTGTATGGGGTCCCATACGGATCCTATACAGACTGTATGGGATCCCCTACGGATCCTCTACGGACTGTATGGGATCCCATACGGATCCCATAAGGACTGTATGGGACCGCATACGGATCCTATACGGACTGTATGGGATCCCATACGGATCCTATACAGACTGTATAGGATCCCATACGGATCCTATACGGACTGTATGGGATCCCATCCCATTACGGATTCCTATCCGGACTGTAAATGGGAAATCCATACGGAAACCTATACATACGGACTGAAGGGAATCCCATACGGAAACCTATACTGACCTGTATTGCAATCCGCATATCGGAATCCACAATTCCTCTACGGACTGATGGATCCCATAGGAATCCTATACGGACTGTATGGGAACCCATACGGATCCTATACGGATGTATGGGATCCCCTACGGATCCTATATAGACTGTATGGGATCCCCTACGGATCCTATACGGACTGTATGGGATCCCCTACGGATCCTATACGGACTGTATGGGATCCCTTACGGATCCTAGACGGACTGTATGGGATCCCCTACGGATCCTATCCAGACTGTATAGGATCCCATACGGCTTCTATACGGACTGTATGGGATCCCATACGGATCCTATACGGACTGTATGGGATCCCATACGGATCCTAGACGGACTGTATGGGATCCCCTACGGATCCTATCCAGACTGTATAGGATCCCATACGGCGTCTATACGGACTGTACGGGATCCCATACGGATCCTATACGGACTGTATGGGGTCCCCTACGGATCCTATACGAACTGTATGGGATCACATACGGATCCTATACGGACTGTATGGGATCCCTTACGGATCCTAGACGGACTGTATGGGATCCCCTACGGATCCTATACGGACTGTATGGGATCCCCTACGGATCCTATACGGACTGTATGGGATCCCATACAGATCCTATACGGACTGTATGGGATCCCTTACGGATCCTAGACGGATTGTTCTCGCTTGGGTTCCCGATGGGGCGTTCTGGAGGGTCTGGGGGGAGGCGCCGTGAGAGGCGGGGCCCGAGGCCTCTAGAGGCTCGTCCTCCTCCTCCTCCTCCTCCTCCTCTACATCCTCCTCGTCCTCCTCCCCTTCCCCCTTCCCCCCCTCCCCCTCCTCCTCCTCCTCCCCCTCCTCCTCCTCCTCCTCCTCCTCCTCCTCCTCCTCCTCCTCCTCTCACCTCCTTCCCTTTCCTCTTCCCCGCTCCTCCTCCTCCTCGCTCCTCCTCCTCCTCCTCCTCTTCCTCCTCCTCCTCGCTCCTCGCTCCTCCTCCTCCTCCTCCTCCTCCTCCTCCCCCACCTCCCCCTCCTCCTCCTCCCCGTCCTCCTCCTCCTCCTCATCCTCCTCCTCCTCCTCCTCCTCCTCCTCTTCCTCCCATCCTCCTCCTCCTCCTCCTCCCCTCCTCCTCCTCCCGTTCCTCCTCTCCTCCTCCTGCCTCCTCCTCCTACCCCCCTCCCCTTCCCCCTCCTCCTCTTCCTCCTCCTCCTAGGAACCCTGTACGGGTCCTATAGGAATCCTATGGAACCGTGTAGGGGTCCTATAGGAATCCTATGGAACCCTGTAGGGGTCCTGTGGGAACCCTATAGAACCCTGTACGGGTCCCTGTACGCCCCGCGGGGGGGCGCGCGGGGAGAGCGTTGCGTTGCGTTGCGCTGCGTTGCGCGGGGGGGGGGGGGGGGGGGGAGGCCGGTCCGCCAGCTAGTGGTTTCGTCAACAACAACAACAACAACAACAACAATCATTTAAGACTGGGGACACTCCGTTCTCACCAGTGCCAGGGTTTTCATAGGAGGCGGGCAATACCCCCACTTTGTGGGGGGGCCGGTTCAAGCTCTACCAAGTTTCCAAACGACTCTTCGCCACCACCCACACCCAGCTTCCCGCCCTATGACGTTCGGACACTTCACTTCGTGGCCTGCGGACGACCTTGGCTACTACACTGGCGCATGGGTACAGTGACTTGTTGTGGTAACATTTTGTGGAAGCTAGCTTAGTATACGACTTTTCCCCCTGTTCCAACACTGGACACCTGTACCGTTTTCCGACGTTTTTCCGTTTCTGTACCACACAAGCGAAGACACTTATTTTGAGTGGTACCACGTGCGTGGCGCCAGCATACCACAGGACTTGTTTCCGTTGTTGTGAGACGATACATGCTCATTCTTGTTCTGTGGTTTCCTAAGAAATCCGCAAGAGCGCGCGGAGTGAATGTTTGAAACCCTTTTTTTGAAAAACCATTGGGTTTTTCATGTTTTTATGTGAAAATCGCTACGAAGACTAAGGTGTTGGAAGGATTTCGTCTTGCGCGCGCGAATGTGCACTTCGTGTCATTTTTTGCTAGGGATTCTTGAAGTTCGGTCATGTTAGAACAAGAAATGTCCACTTTGCCTTATTTTTTGCAAGGGAAAACCGATCGTAACAACACAACCGGATCTGGTATACCCCGTTTTGCCTGAGATTTCCTCGCGAAAATGATGAAAATGTGGCTGCGGCCTAGGCGCGGCGGGGGGGGCGCGCACCAGGGGGCCCAACAATAATTATTCTTTAGAATTAATAATGTTCAACAGCAAGAACAACAACAAGGTCGACACTGCACCGAACCCCCCGTTCACCGGGCAGCTGGGCCAATGCTTGTCCTTGAGGACAACCCTTGCCCTAGCCCCCCGTGGTCAGCAGCAACCGGCAACCAGCAACCAGCAAGCGGACCTCAAGCTTCGCATTGGAAATCCTCTGGGCTCCTTAAAGCAGCCCATGCACTCCCACGAGCTGAAACAATGCGCGCGCCGCCGAGCCGACCTCCGGGACGCAGACTCCCTGTGGAATCCTATGGAATCCCTCAGGAAGCCTATAGGACTCCTGGGGAATCCGATGGGATTCCCAAGGAGTCCGATGGGATCCCTAAGGGATTCCTAGGGAACCCAAAGGAATCCGATGGGAATCCGATGGGAATCCTATAGGTGTCCTATAGGATGCCTAGGGAAGCCTATAGAAATCCGATGGGATCCCTAAGGATTCCTAAGGAGTCCCATGGGATTTGTAAGGGATTCCTAGGGGATCCTAAGGAATCCTATGGGAATCCCATGGGAGTCCTATAGATTCCCACATGATCCCTCAGGAAACCTATAGAAATCCGATGGAAGCCTATGGGATTCTTAAGGGTTCCTAAGCAATCCCATGGGATTCCTAAGGCACCTTGTGACACCTTATGGGATTCCTCAGGCATCCTTAGGAATCCCAGGGAATCCGTAAGAATCCTAGGCGATCCTCACGAATGCAAACGTATCCCAAGGAATCCTAAGGAACCCCTAGGGATCCGATGGAATCCTCACGAATGCTAAGGCATCCTTAGAAATCCGAAGGAACCCCTTAGGAATCCCACGGAATCCTAAGGAATCACTGGGACTCCGGAGGAATCCCTAGAACTCTTTAGGAATCCCTCGGACTTCTTAGGAATCCCTGGGAATCCATTGGGACTTTTGGGGATCCCTGGGGCTCCTAAATCCCACCAGCCCTTTAGGGCGTAGGTGGTCTAGGGAGTTTCCTCTGCCAACCCCCTTCTTCCCCTTCGGGGAGGGGTTTACCCCTCCCCTTACCCCTCCCCACTGACCTGGACGGGGCCGGTCGCGAGGTGTCAGAGCGTCCAAGATGGCCCAAGACAGCTCCAAGAGCGAACAGGCGAGAAAACACAAAACATTGATTTTACCTAGGTTTTGGAAGGATTTTGGCATCTTGGGGGGGCCCAAGAGGCGACTCGAGGCACTCTGGAGGGGCGGGGCTAATAAGCACCCCCCCCTTCTTTGATAGATCTCCTCCAAGATGGCCCAAAGAGCGCCCCGAAGGCTCCCAAGAGCGCCCCAAGAGCGCCTCA